CAGGGAATGGGGCCAGCCAAGGGGGGCGGCAGACGAGCCTGGGGCGACCAATGCAGCCGACGGGCAAGCGAAAACAAACGAACACACACACAAAACCTGCCAGGGAATGGGGCCAGCCAAGGGGGGCGGCAGACGAGCCTGGGGCGACCAATGCAGCCGACGGACAAGCGAAAACAAACAAAAACAAACAAACTAGCACGGGAATGAGGCCAACCGAAGGATGCGTCAAGGGCGACCAATGCGGCCGACAGACAAGCGAAAACAAACAAACTAGCACGGGAATGCGGCCAACCGAGGGATGCGGCAGACGGGCCTGGGGCGACCAATGCGGCCGACGGGCAAGCGGAAACGCGCGGAAACACACAGCACCAGCCAGGGAATGTGGCCAGCCGAGGGGGGGGGCAGACGAGCCTGGGGCGACCAACGAGCCGACGAACGAGCGAATACAAAACAAAACCAAACACCACCAGCCAGGGAATGGGGCCAGCCGAGGAAAGCGGCAGACGGGCCTGGGGCGACCAATGCAGCCGACGGACAAGCGAAAACAAACAAAAACAAACAACACTAGCCAGGGAATGAGGCCAACCGAGGGATGCGGCAAACGAGCCTGGGGCGACCAATGCGGTCGACGGGCAAGCGAAAACAAACGAACACACACAAAACCTGCCAGGGAATGGGGCCAGCCAAGGGGGGCGGCAGACGAGCCTGGGGCGACCAATGCAGCCGACGGACAAGCGAAAACAAACAAAAACAAACAAACTAGCACGGGAATGAGGCCAACCGAAGGATGCGTCAAGGGCGACCAATGCGGCCGACAGGCAAGCGGAAACGCGCGAACACACACACACACACAGTCAACCCGCCAGGGAATGGGGCCAGCCGAGGGGGGTGGGCAGACGAGCCCGGGGCGACCATTGCAGCCGACGGACAAGCGAAAACAAACAACAACAAACAAAACCAGCCAGGGAATGGGGCCAGCCGAGGGAAGCGGCAGACGAGCCTGGAGCGACCATTGCAGCCGACGGACAAGCGAAAACAAACAAAAACAAACAAAACTAGCCAGGGAATGGGGCCAGCCGAATGATACGGCAGACGAGCCTGGGGGACCAATGCGGCCGACGGGCAAGCGGAAACGCGCGAACACACACAAAACCGGCCAGGGAATGGGGCCAGCGCCGAGGGGGGGGGGCAGACGAGCCTGGGGTGACCAATGCAGCCGACAGACAAGCGAAAACAAACGAAACCAGCTAGGGAATGAGGCCAGCCGAGAGATGCGGCAAACGAGCCTGGGGCAACCAATGCGGCCGACGGGCAAGCGGAAACGCGCGAACACACACACACAACCAGCCAGGGAATGGGGCCAGCCGAGAGGGGTGAGCAGACGAGCCTGGGGCGACCAATGCAGCCGACGGACAAGCGAAAACAAACAAAACCAAACAACACCAGCCAGGGAATGGGGCCAGCAAGGGGAAGCGGCAGACGGGCCTGGGGCGACCAATGCAGCCGACGGACAAGCGAAAACACTCACAAAACAAACGACGCCAGCCAGGGAATTGATGCCAGCCGATGGGGGGCATGGCGGCAGACGGGCCTGGGGCTACCAATGCAGCCGACAGACAAACGAAAACAACCAAAATCAAACAAGAACCAGCCAGGGAATACATGCCAGCCGAGGGGACGGCAGGCGAGCCCGGGGCGACGACTGCGGCCGAAGGACAAGCGAAATCAAACAAAAACAAGCAACACCAATCAGGATTTGGGCCAGCCGAGGGGGGATAGGGGGCATGCGATCCTGGGGCGACCAATGCAGACGACGGACAAGCGACAACAACCAAAACCAAACAACACCAGCCAAGGAATAGGGCCAGCCGAGGGGGGGGCGGCGGCAGACGAGCCTGGGACGACCCATGCGGCCGACGGACAAGCGAAAACAAACAAAAACAAACAACGCCAGCCAGGGAACAGGGCCAGCCGAGGGGGGGGGGCGGCAGACGAGCCTGGGACGTCCAATGCAGCAGGTGGACAAGCGACACCAAACAAACACAAACAAAATCAGCCAAGAAATGGGGCCAGTTGACGGAGGGCGGCAAGCGAATCTGGGGCGACCAATGCAACCAACGGGCACACGAATACAAACAACAACAAACAACACCAGCCAGGGCATAGAGCCAGCCGGGAGGCAGACGAGCCTGGGGCGACCAATGCAGCCGACGAACGAGCGAATACAAACAAAACAAACAACACCAGCTAGGGAATGGGGCCAGCCGAGGGAAGCGGCAGACGAGCCTGGGGCGACCAATGCAGCCGACAGACAAGCGAAAACAAACAAAAACAAACAAAACTAGCCAGGGAATGAGGCCAACCGAGGAATACGGCAAACGAGCCTGGGGCGACCAATGCGGTCGACGGGCAAGCGAAAACAAACGAACACACACACACACGAAACCTGCCAGGGAATGGGGCCAGCCAAGGGGGCGGCAAACGAGCCTGGGGCGACCAATGCAGCCGACGGACAAGCGAAAACAAACAAAAACAAACAAACTAGCCAGGGAATGAGGCCAACCGAGGGATGCGGCAGGGGCGACCAATGCGGCCGACAGGCAAGCGGAAACGCGCGAACACACACACACACAACCCGCCAGGGAATGGGGCCAGCCGAGGGGGGTGGGCAGACGAGCCCGGGGCGACCAACGCAGCCGACGGACAAGCGAAAACAAAGCAAATCAAAGAAAAACAGCCAGGGCATAGAACCAGCCGAGGGGGTGGGCAGGCGAGCCTGGGCCGACCAACGCAGCCAACAAGCACACGAATACAAACAAAAACAAACAACACCAGCCGTGGAATTGGCCCAGCCGTGGGGGGCGGCAGGCGACTGACAAGCGAACAACACAATCGGGGAAATGTGGCCAGCCGCGGGGGGCGGCAGACGAGCCTGGGGCGACCAATGCGGCCGACGGGGAATCGAGAAAAAACAAACCAACCAAAACCAGCCAGGGAATAGGGCCAGACGAGCGGGGCGGCAAACGAGCCTGGGGCGACCAATGCAGCTGCCGAACAAGCGAACACAAGCAAAAACAACCAAACAACACCAGCCAGGGATTGGGTCCAGCCGAGGGGGGCTGCAGACGAGCCTGGGGCGACCAATGCAGCCGACGGAGCGACAACCAAACCACGCCAGGGAATAGGGTCAGACGAGGGTGGCGACAGACGAACATGGGGCGACCAATGCAGCCGACAAACCAGCGAAACCAAACAAACAAACAAAACCAGCCAGGGAATGGGGCCAGCGCCGAGGAGGGGGGGGGGGGGCAGACGAGCCTGGGGCGACCAATGAAGCCGACGGGCAAGCGCCGACGGACAAGCGAAAGCAAACGAAAACAGACAAAAACAAGCCAGAGAATGAGCCAGCCGAGGGAGGCGGCAGACGAGCCTGGGGCGACCAATGCGGCCGACGGACAAGCGAAACCACACAAAAACAAACAAAACCAGCCAGGGAATGGGGCAAACCGAGGGGGGGGGGGGGGGCAACCTCCCCCTGTCCCAAAAGCCACAATCCCGTCTGAATTTTCGACAGTCCGATACCGTGTCCTTTCTAACTCGGTATTTCCTTTCAGCTGACTACAACTCCAACGCCGCACCCCCCCTCCCAAGCAGAGCCCGCCCAACGCCGCAATTCCTCCTCAACCCCTCGCCCACCCCCCTCCTCCCCTGCCCCCTGCCCCCTTACAAAAACCACAATCGTTGCCCCAAACAGACGCCCCGCAACTCCTCCCAAACAGTCGACACCGTCTCACCCATGAGTTTCCCCCGCCTTTTTTCGAACTAGCAAACAATTGGCACGTGACTCACAGGTTGTATTTGGCCGCCTTTTTTGGGGCGCCCAAAGTTGGCTTCTGACTCACATGTTCGTTCGGCATGAGCCTTTTTTTCTGATCTCTATGTTGCGAAGTCACTCACCAGCTAGTTTGGGGGCACGACCCCGTATCATCATCATCATCATCATCATCATCATCATCATCATCATCATCATCATCATCATCATCATCATCATCATCATCACAGTCATCATCATCATCATCATCATCATCATCATCATCATCATCATCATCATCATAATCATCATCACCATCACCATCACCATCACCATCACCATCGTCATCATCATCATCATCATCATCATCAGCATCATCATCATCATCACCATCAGCCAGCCGCTGCATGGGGCGTCGCCAAAGGGGGACCAATTTGGGGAACGGAGCATGACATAAACACAAAGCCTCGAAGGTCCGCGCAGATTTCTCGATCGGCGCTGGACCCTCCTGGCGGCGCCACCAGCGCCGCGCCGGGGAGGGGGGTCAAGCGCGGATCCAAGAGATTCGCGCGGACCTCAGAAGTTTTATGTTTATGGCTTTGTTTGTTCCCCTGCAAGCGGCCAGCTGGCCGCCACATGGGGCGTTCAACTCGATGATCCTCAGACCGTGTAGTAGCGCCAACGTAATTATGCTTGTCCACAGACGCCCTCCCCAAAGCCCTTCCAAGACGACACAGGTGGTGCAATGATGGCCGGTGCAGGCTAAGTGCTATCGGCGGAGCTCAGCGGGGCAAACACACATTGGGCTAACACACGTCCAGAAGATCATCGAGTAAGCGTGGAAGGCGAGCCGATGTCGGGAGCGGGAGCCGGAGAGCAGGAGCCGGATGCGGCGATAGGAGCGAGAAAAGTATAGTCAAAACTTGTAGCAAGGATGCGCGGTAAGGATGCCAGGTAAGACGAAGCCAGGACGAGGATGACATCGGATAAGGATAAATCGAGAATCTCTGAGATCCTGCGGCTCTGCAAAACGTTTCGGGCGCCGCGGCCTTCTCAGAGCGTCAGGGAACACTCCGAGAGCGTTCCGGAACGCTCTGGATCGGATTTGTCCTCGTCCTCGCCCCGTCTGACAGCGCCTTGGACGCACGTGTCGAAGCTTTATAGAGCGCCGCGGGCCATGAAAGAGGGTGAAGGATGGACATAGAGGCACGGATGCCAGTGTACCGTTGGGAAGGTCACCCACCCTTACTATCGGATGCGACTGTAGGTGCTGGACTCAGCGAGAGGAGGGAGAGAAGTACGCGCATCTTCGGATGACGTTGGCTACTTCTTGAAGGGGATTTTGCGCATGCAGCTAGCAACATTAAACAATAGGATGAAACCCCGCGGATGATGTCGAAACTCGTCCGACTCAGCGCGTGCCGCGGCGACTTGTTGGAGCGGCAACTTGCGAGGAGCAGTCAAGATGATGGCAAAGGTCTTTAAAACTAAACATGGACCAACATCCAGTTGCAGACATGGGCGCCAGGTGGATCGTCAACAGCTCCAGATCCATGTCCAGCGAGATCCCTCTGCCCTGGGAACCCTTCCCTTCCTCGCCAGCTCAAAACGCAAGGTCCACGGAGCCCGACAAAAAGCTGGGCGCCCCCCCTGAAGACCCTGCAGGGCCTCTCCTGGGAGGACCAGTCACATCACAGTCCCGATCCTCCGTTCTCCAGAGCTGGGATCTTCAGACTCCTGGTTTGCAGTGTCCTGGCTCTTGAGGGGCCAGTGCAGGGGCTTGCCTCCACCGGAGGAGGGCGAGCTCGGCCTCTTGTGCTCGTCTCGGCCACCGGGGCAGGCGCCACCGGGGCAGGCCGGTTGCCGCCATCGCCAGGATCGAGATCATCCTCCCCTGTTGGAAGAAACCACCGAGAGGTGAAGGAGGAGGAGGAGGAGGAGGAGGAGAGAAAGAGGAGGACGAGGAGGAGGAGGTGGGGGACGAGGAGGACGTGGAGGAGGGGTAGGAGGAAGAGGAGGAGGAGGGGGAGGAGGAAGAGGAGGAGGTGGAGGAGGAGGAAGATGGTGCTGGTGTGAACCTCTGCGGTCTGTGGTTGCCTCTTCGTTCCTGAAGGGGCGGGGGTTGTGGTTGGAGTGTGGTGGGTGGGGAGGAGGAGGAGGGGAGGAGGAGGAGGAGGAGGAGGAGGAGGAGGAGGAGGAGGAGGGGGAGGAGGGAGGAGGGAGGAGGAGGAGGACGAGGAGGAGGAAGAGCAGGAAGAGGCGGAGGATCTGGAGAAAGGTGGTGCTGGTGTGAACCTCTGGGCCTTCCGTTCCTCGGGGGGGCGTCCAGCACACCGACCGCCGACAGCGCGCGCGACGTGCACCCACTGCCGGGCCGAGAGGAGCCCGCCCGAGCTCCAAGACGCCGCTGCCCGCTGGCGGCACGTGGAGAACCCCCAAACGGTGTGGTGACCACACCGCGTGGTGAGTCGGATCCCCACGAGAAGGAGGAGGAGGAGGAGGAGGAGAAGGAGGAGGAGGAGGAGGAGGGAGGAGGAGGAGGAGGAGGAGGAGGAGGAGGGAGGAGGAGGAGGAGGAGGAGGAGGAGAGGAGGAGGAGGAGGAGGAGGAGGAGGAGGAGGAGGAGGAGGAGGAGGAGGGAGGAACACGGTTTTGGGACTCGGGTCGTTCTCCGAGGACGTCTCGGGCGACTGGGGTGAGGTCTTGGGGGATTTCGAGGTCGCCGCACGGTCTGTCACCGCACCGTCTCGGGACTCCAGAGCATGGGGACGACCCCTCTCACCGGTTGAGTCGGCGGGGATCGAAAACGCGACATACGAAAAAGCCGACAAAAAGAAGTAGAGAGACACACAGAGAGTCGGGTATAGAGAGAGGGGCGAAATACAGTGAGCAAGAGAGAGAGAGAGAGAACAAGATAGAGAAGGGATGAACATATATATATATATATAGAGAGAGAGAGAGAGAGAGAGAGAGGGAGGGGGGGGGGGGGCAGAGAGTGGCAGGGAAAGTGGGCGGGAAGAGAAGAGAGATAGAGAGCGGGAGAGGGTGAACATGCTTGGCATGTGCCGCATGCTATCCACGAGGCTGTGCTAACTCGTAGGGACGGCCCCGACTGACAGGTCGATACCAGAATCGAAGTATTGGTGAGGCATCTTGGCGGTCGCGCGGAGGGGGAATGAGGAGGGAGGTGGAAGGGACAATATGTAAAGAGAGAGAGAGAGAGGAAGAGAGAGAGAGGAAAAAAAGGGAATCTCTCTCTCTATATATATATATATCGAGAGAGAGAGAGAGAGAGAAAGAGAAACAGACAGAGAGAGAGAGAGAGAGCGAGAGAGCGCGAAAGATGAATACATATAGAAATAACGACATGTATAGGGAACAAGAGATAAAGAGAGAGAGAGTGAGAGAGGGAGACCAACACATGGATAGAGGGCGATACACATATACACCTATACATATAAAAATACACGTGTCTGCGCTAATTCGTATTACGGGATCTGTATACACAGGTGAAGAAGATAGGTGCGCAGAGCGGCAATAGGGACAACTAGATAGAAAGACCCCGAGAGAGGGAGCGAGAGGGGGAGAACGGGAGAACACGACAGAAAAAAAAGAGAGAGAGATATCATCAAACAACCGCCTTGTGTGGCGGATCTCGCATGCGCCCCGTCAAACTCTGCCAACACGTACGGGTCGGCTCAATCGGACAGGCCGCCAAAACTATGTAACATCCAATGAGGCGCATCTCGGCGGCTGCGCGGGGGAGGAGAAGGGAGCAGAAGGGTGGAGGAGGAAGGGGATATGCATGTAGGGAGGGAAAGAGGAAGAGAGAGAGAGGGATAACTAACACCCAAACAGAGGACAAAGAGAGGGCGACAGAGAAGTACAACCGAAACAACAATGAACAAACAATATGGAGATACATAGTGATATAGAGAAAGAGACAGAGAGAGTGAGAGAGAAAAAGACAAAGTGAGACAGGAAATCAAAGAAAAACGAGAGAACTGTAGATCGCCAAATCGAGAGAGGAACAAGCTGAGAGAAAGAGAGAGAGACAGAGAGAGGGAAAGAGAGAGAGAGAGAGAGAACGCTGGCGAAACATCAGACAACAAACAACTGGCAAGGAAAGAGCGCGCGCACCCAACCCCCTCAGCTGGATCGCTGGGGGCAGGATGCTCGTGTGCGCGCTCGCGACGCCCGCGGTCACCCTCCCCACCCCCCCTTCGCTTCCACCCTGTCGCCGCCACTCAAAGGGTGAGGATCACACGCGCCGCGCCCCGCAGATGTCCTTCCTCCTCCTCCTCCTCCCTCCCTCCTGCCTTCTCATCCTCGTCCTCTTCCTCCTCCTTCTCCTCATCCTCTTCCTCCACATCCTCCTTCCTCCTCCTCCTCCTCCTCCTACTCCTCCTCCATTCCTTTTCCTTGTAAAAAACTTCAAAAAACTTCTCCCTGTCGCTCACCGAGGCCAAATTCTAGGGCGGGCCGGGCCGGGCGCTTCGCTCGAGACTTCCGTACCATGTATGACCTGAAGCTCCAAAGTGGCAGCAGTTTGAGAGACGGAGGGCGGGTGGTCTTCACAACGTGGCTTTCGCCTCAGCGCCGCGCACATTCGTTGCGGGCGCCTCGACTCTGCTCCGAGGAGGCTCCCGCTCCGACGCCCAGGAACGGAGGTGCCGCCCCGAACCCCGGTGGGGTATCACCATCCATGCTCCGGCCCACGCGCCCCACCGGAAGCGAGCAACGCGGAAAATGGAACAAATCGCGCGCGCAGACTCGACCAGGAGCCTGGCAGGCTTTAATAATGCAGGAGGCGTCAGACGTGCCAGCATGCCTAGCACGTGCTCTTCCCAGCGGGAGACCCTGAGATCCGACACTGCAAAAATGCAGCATCGCAAAAAATCACGCCCGGAGCCCAGGACCCCATCTTTCTGAACCAAGAGCTGGATCGATCCGTGAGGGCCCCAGGGCCCGACATTCAGCAAAAACGCCCGTTGTGAAGAAAATGCAGCGCCAGGACCTCAGGGGACGTCAGACGTGCGAGCGTGCCAAACACGTACTCTTCCGGGCGGGAGGCGTCGGACGTGCTATAGCGTGCCAAACACGCGTCTCCAAGCTCCGGCCACCAAAACACGCGGGCTGGCGCCTGGCAAGCCGCCGACGGACACCACTGGGGTCCGCGAGTCGGCGAGGACGAGGAGGAGTAGGAGGAAGAGAAGGATAGAGGCTCCTCGAGAAGTAGGAGGAAGATAAGGATAGAGGCTCCTCCTCCTGAGTAGGAGGAGTAGGAAGAAGAGAAGTACCAGAAAAACACTGACCTGGAGGACGCGAGTCCTGAAGCTCTCCCCTCCGTTTTCGTGCCTCCGGGGCTCTCCTAGGGCCCCGAACTTGTTTAAAGAGATCGAGATGGTAAAATTTCTGCCTGGGGAAAGCCCTTGGGTCTAGAACCCGTGTCCACCCAGGCCTCCTCTCATGGCGAACCTCCCAGGGACCTCTGGAGGACGAGAGGGAACTCAGCCGAGGAAGGTCGCAGCTATAACTATGTCGCAAGCACGGCTCAAGAGTCGTCGAAGAATCGCGCGCCAAGACAATGGATTGCCTACCGACGTGTGGATTCGCTAGCGGTTGCGGCCTTACACAAAAGACCGCTCCCCACAGGGGAGATTCCCGCTGCTGCTCGGGCAGCGAGGACGCGGTGCGCGAGCACCCAGGCCTCCGGCGTCGTATCTTGTTTGCTTTCTCCCCTTTTTCCTCCGTCTCGCTCTCTCTCTCTCTCTCTCCATCTCTCTCCCTCTCGCTCTCTTGCTCTGCCTCTCTCTTAGTATGTGTTCCCTCTCTCTCTCTCTCTTTCTTTGGCTCTCTCTGTCTCTCTCTCTCGTTCCCTTTCTACCTCTCTCCCTTTATGTGTTTTGTGTTTCTTTCTTTCTCTCTCTCTCTCTCTCTCTCTCCCCCCCCCTTTTTTCGAGCACCGACGCCTGTTGTTGGGCACCGTGGACATACACAACGATGGGGGATGATAAGCTGGCGCCCGGGGAAGGGTTGCAAGCTCCGGAGGCCCACAGACAACAACAAAAACACAACGTCGTACGTCTGGGAGCGAGTCATTGCGCGTCGGCGACAGTGGCTCTGGCCAGCATGGCGCAAAATCCACCACCGTGCCCTGAGCCACGAGTTGGAAGGTCCTCAGGTCCCTTTGAGCTCTTCGCCCCCTGTCCTGAGCGAATTCGTATTACCAAGAGGCTGGAACCATACGTGGCTGGATTCACGTGTGGACGATTCGGAGGCCACTTGATACCCATGTGGAGGACCACCGTGCCTGTTCACACGAGGGCGGAAGGCTCGAAAGACATGTGGCCACGTGTGTGTCCAGCAACCCGCCCTGGCCGGCCACGCCATGCGTATCCAGCTTCTCGGAAAAAGGAGCTTGGACCCCAAACTTCTACCTTGTCCTGGGTTTCGGACGCGTTCCCGCGTGACCTTTCTGGAACCACGGTGTCCCCCAAACATGCCAATGCGGCCCCAAGAGGCCCCCAACACGGTCCAAGAGGGTTCAGAGTCGCCGACTGATCGCTGACAGACGCCCGAGATGGCCTCCAGAGGCCCTCACAGGCCCATGAGACGCCCCATGAGGACTCCAAGAGCACTTCCACGAGGGTCCCAAGAGGCCAGAATAATGTATGATCCAGATTCTAAAATTCCACCATCCGTATCCGAATCCATCATCCGCATGCTGACCTCTCTGGAACTTCCGACCAAATCCAAGAAGGGTCCACGCTGCCTTTGGAAGGATCCGGCTGACAGAGGAATTTTTTCTACATCATTGCATGGTCAGGGAACACAATCATTCCCATGTGACTTTCGCGGTAAAAGCTCCATTGCCAATTTTTTTGCGGTGTGCTGCGCTGGCGACATAAAATACCGTCGCATCGCACGACGGCGTCCCCCTAACGTGCCCAATACTATTTCGGATCACATACCCTTCGACGTCAATCTCTACCTGAACCATCTCCCGCGCCGGGCCACGATGTCCCTCCCTCCCCAAGATGGTTCAAATCAAACACTCGGGGAACACACTTGCATGAACCACTGCAGTGTTCTTCACTTCCGGCATCAGCTGTCTTCCCATCGCACGATAGCGTTCCCCGAACAAGACCTCGCCTATTCTGGTAAACTGATCGTTCGAATTTGGATTTTCTCTCCCCGGCCCACCACCCGCGCCGAACGACGCTGTCCCTCGTTCCAAATTGGTTCAGACATCTTTCGAGAAAGCAACACCCACTCCCGTGAGACGCAAACAACATGCAATTGGAATGGTTAAATCACCCGAGCGGTCCTCGAACGTGTCGGGGGACACATCGTTCAAGTTTAATTTTTCCATGATCCATCACCCGCGCCGACCGACGATGTTCTCTTTTGCCGAACAGATTCCAGAAGACGCCTGGGGAACACCGTTGCACGACACCCCGTGTTGTTTTTCCGTTTAAGACATTACCTATCTACGCATCGCACGAGGGAGTTCCCCCAGCGAATCCCCACACCATTCGAAGACCACGTCGTTCTGATTCGGATTCCCTCCCTGACCCTCACCCGTGCCTGATGAGGATGTCCCTCGTTGCCCAATTGGTGCAGGCATCTTTCGGGAAACGCCGCCCACTCCCTTGATGGGCGGAGAGGAAACGATTTAATCCTCGAACCAGCGGGGGAGCACATCGCATGAATTCAATCTCTCCCTGATCCATCGCCCGCGCGGAACGACGATGCCCCTCGTTCCACGGCGCGACTAAACAACTATTCGGGGAACACCGTTGTAGGATTCAATGCGTTCTGTTTCACGTGCGTCATCAACTATCTTCTCGCACCACGCGACGGCGTTCTCCGAGCGAACCCTTGCACTTTTCGGCGAACATACCGTTCGAGGTTGGACCTCTTTTCCCTGGGCCATCACCCGCGACGGACGACGATGTCTCTCGTTCTCCGAATTGGTGCAAACATCTTTCAAGGTACAACGTTCATTCCCGTGAAACGCAGGGCCCAATTACACTGGTCAGATCACCAGAACGGGCCCTCGACACTCTCGGGGAGCACGTCGTTCGAGGTCATTATCTCCGTGATTCACCATCCGCGCCGGACGACGATGTCTCCATTCCCCGAACTGTTTCAGAGATCCGAGAATGCCGTTGTACGTCTCACTGCGGCGTTCGCCGAGCGTCATCAGCTGTCTCTGTGTCGCGCGACGATGTTACTCGAGCGCGTCCTTGCACCTTCCCCGCGCTTTCGAGTTCAGATCTCCTCTCCCTGGCTCGTCGCCAGCGCCGCGCGACGATGTCCCTCGTTCCAAATTGGCTCGGACATCTTTCGAGGCGCCCTCCCCCGCTCCCGCAATGCGCGATGTGGAAACCAATCGTCCGAACGAATTCTCGAAACTCTCGCGGAACAGGTCGTTCGAGTTCACTCCCTCCCAGATCCATCGCCAGAGCCGCGCGACGACGCCCCCCGGCCCCAGAACTGAATCAAGAGACATCAGGGGAGCACCGTTGCACGATTCACTGCGGTGCTCTTCCCTTGCGTCATCGACTGCCGTCGCATCGCTCGACGCCGTTCCCCGAACGGGCCCGCGCACCTGTCGGGGGGCACATCGTTCCAGACTGGGCCTCCTCTCCCTGGCCCATCGCCCGGACAGCGCGACGCCGCCCCCCGTTCCCCGGCTTGCATCAGACTCCATTCGCAGAAGGCCTCCCTTGAGACGCTGGTCCAATCGCACCCGCGCTGCCGAGGAATCGTCGTGAAACGCCGAAGCGCGCCCCAGAGAACGACGGCGCAGGCGGAACGGTCCAAGAACGCTCCACGGGACGAGGGCGCCATTGGAAACGCTGCATGAAATCCCACGTTGCGGGGCCCTGCCAGCCGAAAGTGCCCCCGCCAGCTTGCCGACCAAAGTCGCGCGAGCCGATGGGGGCCCAGGTCGCGCGACGCATCTCAAGGATTTGCCGAATGGGCAGCAATTGTTCTCTTCGCGCCCGCATGTCCTGCGCCGAGGCTGCTGCTGTGGAGCGCGTCGTAGACCGTCTTCAGCGCATATCCTCTCGGCACAGTCCGCCTAGAGATCCGCGCCTGCTCTCCCCGCGCGTGCGCAAAGTGCTCGACGCGCGTTCCGACCGCCGCGCATGCGCCGCGCGCCGAATCGCGGGGCCCGCCGCCCAATCGTTCCGGAA